CCCCGCCGGCTCCGCCTTCTCCATTCTCGGCCTGTGGCACCTCTTCAATACCGCTGCCTCCTATCGTCTCTCCGGTCACTCTTCCTTCTCCTCCCGCATCTGGTTCCCTTCTCCCTTCATCAAACACCTCGAACTCCTCCTACTTCTCCTGCTCTCCCTCGTCTCCACTACTCTCCTCCTCTTCCTCTCTCCCTCTTCCGCCCCATCCGACCTCGAACACGCTACCATGTTCCTTCACCTCTTCATCTACTCCTCCGCCGCCCTTGCCGCCGACCTCCTTCCCTCCCCTTCCTCCTCCTCTATTGCCGGCCTCCTTGCTGCATCAGCTTTCGCTCAAGAGCTTCTTCTCCTACATTTCCACTCCATCGATCATGCCGGTCTAGAGGGACACTACCATGGTCTCATGCAAATTGTTGTGGCCGCGTGTTTAGTGTCGACGGCGGCGACGGTGGGATTTCCGACTAGTTATGTGGCGGCGGCAGTGAGGTCGGCGGCGGTGGTGATGCAGGGGATGTGGTTTGTGTGTATGGGGTTGGTACTGTGGGGTCCGAAAAGTCTTTTACCAGCGGGGTGTGCGGCAGAGGGAGGGGTGGTGCTGTGTGCTGGTGGCGAGGCGGCGGTAACAGCGGCGGCGAACGTGCAGTTTAGTTGGATGGTCGCGGGGATAGCAACGATAACGGCGGCAGTTTGTTTGGTGCCCGAGGGAAACGGGGATGAGTATAGGAAGTTAGGGAACGATGGGAGGAATTCCGGCTGCGGCGGCGGCGGGGGGAAGCCCATAGTTTGATTTTGCATGGGAAGGAGCTGCGGAGCGGGAGGAATGAAGGGCTTGTTAAAGTTGGTTTATGGGCTAATGTAAATATGATCCTTTGCGGCAAATTTAATTTTTGCTTCATGGAATTGTCGCCTGGTAATTAAGGAAATGAAGTATTTTAGTGCGGACTGAACAGTGCTGTGATCCCCGCTGTAATGATCCATAAAATAAATAAGAAAAAAGGAAACTTGAAATAGCCTTAAAAGTTATCTTCACTTTTTAAAATTGATTTACTGCTAGCTTCCATAACTAGATTGATTCATTCGTAATATTCATAACTAAAGAAATATTGCGGCTAATTTTTTAGAGGCATTTATATACATATCATACAATTTTTATGTATTTATACATCTAAGTTTATATTTACATATATAATACTTCAATCATTCATGTCACAACAAAAATATTACTATTATATTACTATTCCTTATTTTTCTTAAAGTGATGACTTTTAGAGGCACCCTGCAAACATGATTTATCCTCAAAATTTTCTAAATCCAACCAAGCATAAAAAAATGTAAGTTTTATAGATTTATGAAATTTTGGATTTAAGGTCTGAATGTTCCCCTCGATTCATGTTAAATCCGGATTTAATAAATCTTACTATCGCTAAATCCTTGTTGTAGCTAAACACCCCTTTAATGTATAATTTTATGACAGTTCACGAGTCATCAATAAATTTTTATCATATAACAATCTCAAGATATTTTGTCATAAGAAAATTTTCAAATTCAACTTGACAATGAATCTTCTATAATCCAGAGAATCAATACTGGTCATATGATCAGGAGGGGGATTTTATTGGTCAAAATATCAAAATGCTCATACTTCACAGGCTATAAATAGACCCCCTCTCTTTACTTGAGGGGAGGAGGAAAATAAATTCTAGAGTTTGTTTATTCTGAAAAGAAGATCCGATGACAACTTCCGGCCTCTATAATCGTCAACCACCATCGAGCACAACCCATTGGCCATTGTTGACCAGCGCCGGCTATCCCTGCTCGCCAATGTTGATGAGCCTTGCTAGCTAATGTTGTATCTAAAATACATCATGTTGAAATATCTCGAAAATATTAATGATTATATTTCATATTTATATAACTCTATATTTAGAGGGTTATATATTATATGATGGATCTTGAGAATTTCTATTTATTTATCTCATTAATTAACTGTCTCTTATATTTTGTTATTATTCATTTCCTTTTCTACTGCATTCTATTTTTATTGCTTTCATTACCACTAAGTCATGTAATAGGTATTTATACTCATCTTTTCATCAATAAAATTAAGTCATCTTATATCTTTTCATGGTATCAGAGTTATACCAATCTTCTTCGGTATGACGACTTCTTCATCTTCCTCCCAAGAAATATCCTCCGCCTCATCTGCCCCTGTTCCAACCGGAATCGATGACACTTCCTCCCTTATCACTGGCTTCAAACTCAACGACCAGAACTACCTCTAGTGGTTCCAATCCGTCATGATGTTTATCTAAGATAGAGGCAAGGACGACTATATCACCGGTGATGTCGTCACTCCGACCAAGGATGACCCAAAATTCTGGACATGGAATGCAGAAAACCACATGGTCATGTCGTAGTTAATCAATTCCATGACCAACGACATCAACAAAAATTTTGTTCTCTACGAAACAACCAAGAGTATTTGGGATGTTGCTCGAGAGACATACTCTCACTTTGATAACACATGTAAGCTCTTTGAGATCGAATCAATCCTCTACAATCTTCGCCAAGGTGATCAATCTGTGACTCAGTATTTTAATGCTCTCTCATGTTACTGGCAGCAGGTTGATAAGTATAGTCCATGCCTGGTCATGCACTCCGGACTTCAACTTATACCGTCAGATCATCTAGCAAAAAATGATATTCAAATTCCTTCTCGGCCTCAACAACTCTCTCAATCATGTCCGCTCTCGTGTGTTTGGCTTCAAACCACTATCGAGCATTTGTGAGGCCTTCTCCGAGGTTCGCAGTGAAGAAAGCCA